TGTAAATATGTTTTGAGCACAGTTAATGAAATTTAAGATGCCTGTTGTTTTGTAGAAGCTTTCGGCACTCCGCTTGGCCCCAGCTTTGGCCTACTTCAATGATATTTTCGCTTTTTATTTTCTTCGCGAAAATTGAAGTCAAGGCTCTAGGGCACCACTTGGCTCTTTTCGCTTTTAGCCTAAAACACATTTGACAAGCTCTCAAATTAACTTCGTTTTATGCGCTTGCACACTGCCTGACGACCATATTAAAAACTGTTTAATGGCCGCGTAATTAAAACACGCAAACAAACTCATGAACAAATTTATACACACACACACACACAGCCACACTTTAAGGCAGCAACACTTAAAACTTTATTCAATTTTCATTAATTTGTGGGGCACTTTATTTTCTGTCTGTTTGGCGTTTTTGCGTGAAAGCGCGTGTCGTGTCATTGTCAGCTGTGGACATTTTACCTGCATAAATTTATGTTGCGCATACGCCCCGTGCAACAACGTATGACATAACGACGCAGTCAAGCAACAGCGCCGGTTATGCTGCTTATTAGAGATGTGAGTGGGCTCGTGCGTGATAACAATGTGGCGAAATCAAAGTGGAATTCTTGATATTAAAATAAACATTTAATAATAATAGAAATCAAATAATAATGAAATAATAATAACGTGATCACATTATAAAATCAAAATGTCATAAAAGAGAAAAACACAGCTTTGGATTAGTTTGATTATTAAGTAAAACAAATTATGGAATGTCTTTCTATATTCTACTAGAGCTCAGATTCTCCGATTCTAGAAGCAAAATCTATTGAAGTTGTGAAAATTAAAAAAAAAGTTTTATTACTTGTACGAAAAATAATGTGTTCACATAGAAGCTAACTCCTCAACGGGGGCAGCTGAACACTAAATGGCGCATTATTTTTATTGGTAGATGTTATCCATTCATTAGTAAAAGGGAATGTAGATGCCTTGGAAAATGGCATGAAACACTAGTCGACTACTAATCAATACCATAATTTTCGCTGAAATGAATAACATTTATCAACTTTATTTCCAACAAAAGTTGTGGAGTTTGCAAATGAAATTGATGCTTATTTAATTTAATTTAATTATTGTAAATGTGAGTGTGAAATTCATTTTTTTTCTACCCGCACATCTCTAGTGCTTAGCATAACAAACGGTGCCCGCTCTTGTGAGCCCATTAAAAACGTATTTTAATTTGATTTCATTGTTCGCTGTCATTGGCTGCTCAACGGCATTTGCTGTCGCTTTGGTTATTCGCAAATGAATATGAATTGAATTGATGATATTTTGGGTGCGCTTTCAAATTCTAAATGACATTCATTCGCTTGGTTGCGACAATTCGATTAATGTGCCGCGCATTTGTTCCAAATGCCCATTTTGTTGAAGGTGTTCTTGGCGAGGCTGAACTTGTGGGGGAATGGGTTTAAAGTGAGGGGGAGTTGAATCGAGAATAGACAGCGAACACGGCTTTTTAATTAGTTTTTAGCTCGTGCCCCAGCACCAATCGAGTGGCACTAATTAATATGACGAGCACAGCGGATGCCAACAGGCAATGACAATGGAAATTTCAAATTTCATTTTGGATCAGTAGTCAGCAACTGGGCTGTGCGATAAATGATTTGCATTTGCTATATACTTGTATGTCGTTGTAGTAGTAGTAGTGTGGGCTCCATTGATTTCGGGCGAGGTCAAAAGTGACACAAAATGGCGCCGGTCATTGTTGAAAGCTATTTAAAGGCATTGTCTTTTATGTCTAGCTTGATGGTCATTGGGTCATAAATAATAAATAAATCAAAGAATGGGCTAAAAATAAAATGTAGGCATAGTTTATAGTTAACTTTTTAACAACTGTTTTTTTTGTTAGTTCATCCAATTGTTTCCTTGTCCAAAGTTGTATTCATTTAATATTAAAGTTAGAGCTGTGTGCTGAGGAACTTTTATAAAGGTGAGTGACTTGCTTTCAAAGGATTATGTGTGCCTGAGCCTTAAATTGAAGCTCAATAAATATTGGATAATTTAAAAATGGTGAATTCAATTAGGGACTCTACGACTCAGCTATTTAAATGTATATTTGAATACTATAACTAGAAAATCATTATTATTTTGGTATTTGGAACTAATAATAAATAAATAAAATAAAATAAGTAGAGTAATGTTTTAGTTCAATAACGACGCTTTTTCTTCTTTGAAATAAAAATTTGAAGCTATAAAAGCCTAGAATTCTCCTTTATATGAAAAATCTCATATGTACATATGTATTCTGACCAAGCTTCTATTTTTTTATGGGTTCTTAACCAAGAAATTATTTTACAGCAGGATGTGACATGCTTCATTTCATTAATCAATGCTACTAACTAATTAATAATGCTTTCTCTGATATTTCTAATACTTATTTGAGATTATTATTATACACTTATGATGAGTTATTGTAAAGATGAAGATTGTGAAAAATTATAAGGCATGAATTGTTGTTAAAAATAACGTTGTAAGACAGACAAAAGGGGTCGACAACAATAGTTAAGTGTTTCATCACAATCTAATAAAATGTTAAGAGCAGATTTGCTTTCAGCCTTTTAAAATGTTTTAAAAGGAATATATTAAAATCTTCCTCTTTGTGTCTCCGTCCTTCACATCTTATTAGCAACCCCGAAACGCAACATTTTCGTAATATCTGCTGCTTTTCTTTTCTGCCACAAATGTACACGCCATAAAGGTATAATTTATGCAGCAAATACTTAGATACATACATATTATACATATGCATATACGAGTATATGTAAGTGGTAGGTAGTTATGGCTGGTGGGGACACGTTCAATAAAATGACATTGCAAATTTATACAAATGTCTTTGAATTATTATGGCTGCGTTTCCAGCTGTAACGCGCACAGAGTGGCAATTTCAATTTAATTGTCGTGACCATGTGTGTGTAGGCATGTGAGTTGGGGTTGCTTGAAATATGGCAGCCATAAGCAAATGCTCCTGTCGCTGCCTTGTTATGTGTTTATTTTTATATGCGTACCGAATTTGGCTTATTTGGCTGCCAATGCTGTCGGCCCTTTTTCTTAACGCTCTATATTTGTTTGTATATGTGTGGTTATAACAAAAGGACAGACAGTTGGACTGCTAATGGGCTCTACAACAATAACAACATGAGCGGAAAGCAATAACAACAATAAGAAAACTTGACTGGCACGTAGCGAAAAGACATCAAGTTGGCAGTAACTTAACATATACATGGCCATATCTACATACTTATGCATGTATATGAACAAGTATTTGTTGTTTTGTTTTCGTTGGTCGCGTATAGAGGAGACACGTTCGTTATATATAATCAGGCAGCAGGAGCAGCTATAACAAGAACTTGGCAGTGGAAAAACTTTTTAAAAACAGCTAAAATTCTGCAGAAAAAAAACCAAAACAAATAAATAAGTTTTCTTGTTTTTTCAACTCCAACACACACACATTTTACAATATCCCCAGCTACCACATGACAATGAGAAACTGGAGAGTGTTGGCACAAAAACGTAAAAATATGTTTTGTTTGTTTTCATTTCATTTAAATGAAAAAAAAAATGAAAAAACGCCCTTAACAGAAGCGAAAATGCTGCAATAAATACAAAATAAATTACATTTAAAGGCTTGCAACATAAATTGTTGAATAAAGAAACATGTTACAGCAGCTGTGGTTCTGTCGGCCCATGGCTGGGCGTGTATAGAAATGGACAGAACTCGACCAGCTTTTTTGGGCATGCTGCTGCTCAAAGCTCCAGATTCCAGAGACCAAAGCCCATAGCTCTGACTCTGCACGCTTGTTGAACTCATTTCGGAGTCATAAAGTTGGTCACATTTAAATTAAAATTCAACTTTGCACGCCTCAAGTGGCAGCTGTTGCTGCAACCGCCGGGCAGGCTTAGTGGGATGGAGTGCATGTAATCAGACTAAGGTGGGCGGTTTTAATGAGGCGCCACAAAACTTTGCGTCACAGCAGCCACCAGAAGCCAAACTGCCCGTTAGCTGCATGTCTATAGTATGTGTTTGTGAGAATGTGTGTGTTTGTGTGTGACACTTAAAGTTTTTCAGCAAATCGTGTTTACACTGCTGCATCGTTAAATGGCGACTAAAAACGCGTTAAGTCAACATCTTAGATCTGTGAGAAAAATGCAGTTTTCTTAAAGAAGTGAACAAAAAGTCAAGGAATATTGGAAATATAAGAAGAAATCTTTCGTTCAATTATAATGCGCTGCTAAATTACTTCCTATTTCATCAGCCTATAAAATAGTGTTGAAAATCATTTAATCCTACTTCATTATACTGTCATGCTTATTAAATGACAAACTGTTTATCAAATCGATTTTCCGGGTATAAAGAAAAGTTTAGTTTTAGTACACAACTTTGATAAGATTCTGAGTCATATTTTCAATATTTTGCTCCTGTACACGAATCGATGTAAAAATGGTTTTCAAAGACAAACGCTTTCTCATAATATAAAAAAATGTCAGTTTTTTTGAAGATGTACGAGTATATGAAGCGTCCGGCTTTCCTTCAATACATAGTTTAACCTTCCTTGAACTGACTGTTGAACTGCTGAAATATCAAACTTTAATCATACATTATGCTAAACTTTTATTAATAAAGCTCAAAATGAATATTTAATTAAATAGACTTTTCTTTTTACAAAAAGTACTGTGTAGTTAGGGCTGTCCTGGTAAACTTTTCACACAGTTCTGGTAAGTGAGACCGGATCTTGAAGCGCCATAATTACGGTATTCTTAATAATTGACAGTAATTTCAACCTTATTTTTTCGGATAAGTTAAGCTTTAAAATTACTGTTTAAAATTAAATTGAGCGGGTAAAGCTTCTTGATTCAAACATTAAATACTTTTCTTAAGTACGGAGAGATTGTCGATTTCCGTACAATGTGTGGAATTGGAATTAGCAATGCCCTGACTTTCTACTTACAAAAAGCCGTACTAGGTGAGAATCAAATTCGCATTTTTTCGTTAAAATTCATTTTCTTAATGTACTAATATGTATTATATACTATAGTACATTCTTATACCGTTTACTGGTACGATCTACTTGGATGGTTTGGGACATTTTTGGAATCCCGTGTCACAGAAAACTGTAGACGCATCGGCACAAGTTAAAGCAAGAGCTAATATTATAATTTTTATAATTAGTAATATAGTAGTAGTAAATATACAATATTACGTACCCATGAGGAGAGGAAATATAAAAGAATTCATCGTCCTATCAAGTCAATGTAAGAAATAGATTACGTCTAATTGAAACAACTTAATATAACAAAGTGTTCTTAATAAATATTTCTACGGTGTCTTAAAACGCCTTAATGTCACCGTAACGTGAGGCCAAGCGTGAACTAAACAATAATAGAAAGCTAGAGCTGAGCAGACCCAACTCTTATATACCCTATACCTACTCCTTAACAAAAGTGAAAAAACAACTATCTGAATTGTTTCTATACGTGTTTATATGTATGTGAGTTAAATTTGTTGAAGTTTTTTCATTGATCCAAAAAATTTTAATTTTTTGGCCCCCCCTTTGTTAAAATCTGCCTACGCCCTTGTGTATAATGTGCATAACGACCAATACACGAATTTGGTCATTTCCAATCGTGCTAAATGGAATAAAGTCGTTAAACAATATAAGAGATTTTTCATTTTCGAACCCTGTATAATCAAAACTGTGTAAAAACAGAATTAGGTGTATTAATAAAGGAAAACTTAAATATATTTCATATGGCACTTTGGATTTTTATTTACGTACGACATCTAATAATGTCTAAAACGTTCACAAATTGCAGTTTTATCGTTTCGCTGAGTGTATTTAAGAGCCTATCTGAAATCGATTTAGGCCAAATCGACTGCACTTTTCAGCTTCTAAGCGGCCACTTCAAGTCGCAGTCGAGTGTCGGCACTCCTTCGCTACCTCTTACCCTCATCCCGGTACTACCACTATCGGCACTCACTATTCCCATTCAACTTTACACGTTGCGACATAAAATCCTATGGCATTTAATGCATGCAAGAAACACTATACTACACTTATTTTATAGCCGCAATTTTGTGTGTTAAATCTGTGTCAACAGCAGCTGCTGTCCTCCGCTCCCCTCCCCACAGCCAGACCCCTCTTAGCAGCGACAGCAACAGCTTACCAGTTGCGTGTTAGCCTGTTAACTTGACTCGACTCGTGCTTTTGTTGTTTTGTGGTGCATTTTGCATGTCATGTGACATTTACAACGCTGACATTTTTTCACAGTAATTCATATTTTTGCAGAAATCCACTTTCCCCCACTCCCCGCCCTACTTGCTGCTTACCCAACCCACTGTTGACATATGTAAATTTTCAACAGCAGCCGACAAATTATGCAGGATTTAATTTTACAATTTGAGGCTGGCTAGCAATCCTTTTTTGTTCACCATTTTTTTTGAATTTTTTTTTTTAACATTCTTCCACTTGTTTATTAAATTGCACACGTTACACATTCGCCACGTAAGCCCATAAGCCATTTGGCTCCCTGCCTTTGCAGCTGACGGCGCTCAAAATAATGAACAGCTCAGCAGCTTTAAGGGCCAAAAAATGTTGGAAAACAAGCAAAAAAAAAATCGTTGTAGAAGGAAAAATCGATGGCGCGTCGACGTCAGAGCAAAAATGAAACGTAGCTGCGAAAAACAATTGAAGTGCTCAAGTGTGTGCAGAACAAAGCGCGGACAAAACAACGAAAATAGAAAATCGCAATCAACATATGCACAAAAATGGAGCAAATGCCGCAAAGCGTTGTGTTCCGCTCAGCTCAGATACCTTTTCACGGCGGGGGTCATGCGGAAAGTTTCAAAAGTATACATGAAGGTTTTCTTAAGCCTTTGTGACAAACCGATTCAGAGTTTTGAAGGATTTTGTTTTTTCTTACTATAGTTTTATTTTAAAACAAATGCATATAAGAGTTATGGAAATCATTGTATCCCAGAAAAAAGAAAACTTATATACTATTCTATGATTTCGGAGAAGAAACCTATGCCGAAGTTGGCAGGTTTGTGGAATATTCTAACACAATGATTTGTTAAAAAATAAGGAAACCGAGGAGGAATGTCCATAACAACTTCATTGGAGGTTAGGAAATTGATTTGCCATTTGCCCTCCAAACTTTCTACGGAACTAAAAATATAACTTTTCACCTGTGTTTATTTTTGTGTTCGATCAATCGGAATTGTCAGCAGTTAACATTTATTGAATCTGCTAAATCAAGTTCGACTTGACTGGATTGCTAAAACTTTTAAGCTGACCCTCGTTTGAGGCGCACGCCTCAACACCTCGCATCTCGTACCTCGTTTATTTTCCATTGACTGTATATGCCGCCATTTATATTTGTTGCGTGCATTTCGAAAACAAAAGCGTGACAGAGCAGAAAAAAGAGGAAAAATGGCGATGAAAAAAGGCTCGCAAGAACTACTGCAGTTTCTATAGCAACAACCACAAGGACTGCAAGAAGCAGACCAAGAAGTGGAAGCAGTGGAAAAGGGAGTGAGGATAGGGGGGGGTGGGGGGAGAGCACTTGAAACTGGCAAAAGCATCGAATTGCATTCGTTCAGTGTGGTAAGTATTTGTATGTGCCGCCTCTAACCAATTCACATTCCTCATCCCAAAGCACCAAACCCTCGTCTCAAGCCCTCCCCATCCCCCAAAGCAAACATATTTCCATTTTAAGAGCATGAGAGACAAGTCTGAGGCATAAGAGAAAACTCATTAGTGCGTTGAGAAAATAACTTGAAGCATAAATTGCAAGACAGCTGCGGATGCCGAGGATGCGCCTCTGAAATTGAAAATTTATAATATCCGTTTAGACGTTTGCATGATGGATATATGAAGGCAAATCGCACAGGACGAAGGGTATATTGTGGAGGGAAGCTAAGGAGGGCAGTAAAATGAAGAAAGTACGCGCACTTCACTTCACTTCAATTGCTGTTGATGTTTTCATGTGGCAAACGTTTCTCAGTCTGCCGTATTTGCTTTCCAAGGCGAGATGTTCTATTGCACACTCACGGGGCGTATGAGTAATGCCAAAGTCCTTAAGGCAGCGCCGTTAGTTGCGCATTTAAAGAAATACGATTTAATAAAAACTTTTTAATAAGTTGCAACGACGTTATTTAGCACAAAAACTTGCCAAGTGGCTAGGCAAAAGTGCAATGTTGGCAAGCGTACATTACCGACTACATTTTGGAGTGTGTGGATGTATGCGAACGTGTATGTGTGTGTGTGTGTTTATGTGAGTGTGCAGAAATTTAAGCGACTTCCTGTGCAGTGAAGTCAAGTCAAGGAGCAGGAGTTGCAGCTGCTGCAGTGGCAGGCAGCAACATTAGCAACACTTAAGGACACTTTTGCAACAGGAAGCAAACAAGCAAACTTACACACACACACACATACTCTTTTGCACACATACCGCACATATTTGAGTGTATATATTGCAAATACAGTCAAGCATCTGCATACAAATTTAATCTATGGGAATCCGATATTATGTGCTTGAAAACAAATTAAATAAGAAACCTTAAAGAATTAAATCTTTAAATAATTATTTCAAAAGTTCGATAATCCTAAACTCTTATTTTTGTATGGTAATATACGATATATGTGCCTACTGCTAATTTTCTTTTTGAATTTTGAACTTGAGTAAAAGTAAACCGATTTCGAAAAAAAGCCTTCTTGTAGGGAAGATGGTCCTAATTATAAAATGTATATTGGTAGAGTTAGGAATTTTTTGAAAAATTTTACATTTTTATTTCATGTAACGCCTTTGAATGTCGGCTTAAAGCGTGGGGAAGAATGTTTCAGCTTTGTATTTAATATTGTATAAGGATATACAAAAAAAAACGATTTTTTTATTATTCACTTTCCGCAAACAGATTCTTGATTTTGATTATAAATCTAGCTCAAGGCGCTATGTGTAGACTTTTTAAAGGATTATTATCTTAAGAAGCTATCTCAGATGCTAGGAGAGCAGTTTGTAAACGAATTAAATGTGTAGACTTTTTAAAGGATTATTATCTTTAGAAGTTGCTAGGAGAGCAGTTTGTAAACGAATTAAATTTTGCTGAACTAGTTAAAAAGAATGTTTATATTCTTGTGTAAAAAGTATGGAAAAAAGTTGCTATTCACGGAAATGAAATCCTTAACACAGTAGAAGGCTAGTTCCAAATAAGAAACTTAAATATAGCAAGAAATATCGCTTGTGAAAGGTGAGCCAACTTTCCTCAGTTGCGCTGCAAGAAATAAACTTTAACACGAACAAAGAAAATTCTTACAATGTGGAAAAAGATTTACAAGAAAAAATGTAGGCGTCTGCCTTTTTTCTATTTCGTTTGTTCTCAAAGTATTTCTCTTGAAATGATTTTTTAATAAGTATGAGGTTCGTTTCTAAGAAATCTGTCTGTATATAAAGTCAACGCTGTTCTGCACGCAAGCAAGTGGCCATCGAGTGTAAAATTAAACATTAAGTTAATTTGTAAAGTGCATGAGAAGCAGAAGCAAAAGCAATTGCAAGGCTGAAAAATGTGATACCATTTTTTTTTGCTGATCCATCAACGAATAGCTAAGGCCACAACCGAGAAAAAGTTGAGAATGGAGATGAAGACGGTTAAACGGTGATTTGCGGCGATTGGGAGTGTCGTGTCGAGTCTGCTCCTGCTTTTGATTGAACCATCAATTGCTAAGTAGGGATATGTCAGTCCAGTGGTGAAAGGAGCTGGCATGTCATGTTTTTTCTGCTTCTACTGCGTCGACGGCATTGTTGTCGAAATTGCAGCTGACAGACGGCATTAAAAGTAGCAAATTAAATTGTCAGCGGCATTTGTGGCTGCCCGTTAAAATACTCAAGGGTATGCGTGTCCGTTGAAGTTAAAGTGTGGCCTGATGGTCATTCATTAGGTGACCGCAAAAGCCCATCGAAATAGCTTAATTCACTTGCCATAAATGCCGGCATGAATATACGAGTACGGGTATGTAATTTTGCGTGTGCGTGTATGAGTGTGTGTGTGTGTGTGTGTGTGTGTGTGCGTGGTCTGTGTAATAGATGTCATTGCGGTCATTCCAAAGAGTGCAAGGAGTGAGTGGCAGAGCAGAGGGAGCATGCAAATTACATTTCATGGTAAATTACAAAATTGTGGCGAAACGGAAAAAAGTGTGCTAAAGTGGCACTTGCATGCGTTTCAGTTAAGGATGGGGCAAAAATTCCACCCATGCACCTTTTTGGTGGGACGAATATTTTGAAATGGAGATAA